TCAGGCTTCCCGCGAATCAAATTTTCGCGGGAAGCAGGGGAGGGGGCGGAGACTTTGGGGAAGGGGCGGAGTTGGGGCTGGGGGCGGGGCCGGGGCCCCGTGGAGTGTCCTCCTTTTGGAGGCCCAAAATATGGTAACCCTATTTTAACAACTAGTAGGGTTATATAGACAGTTCCGTTGCATCATAGTTAAAACAACCCACATCCCACCCCGCTTTGTTAGCAAGAAACTTCTAGTATTCATGTATACCTATCCCCCTATTCAAGCAGCCTTAAGCAATTCATAAGGTCTCAGCAACTTCCTTATCAACACAGTTAACAAGCACCAGAACTAGGAGACGCGGGAGTCAAGGACATACAAAGAACAGAAACAGGGAGTGGAGGCAGTATGTCTCCTAATCTATCTTCTGAGCACACTGTTTTTAGCACATCTGGTACAGGAATGCAGCTCCCCCCTTATCTCACTTTTCCAGCTTAAACAACTGTGTCTTCGATTTTGCCTGGGGACTACCCAGAAACCTCTGTTGGCCTAATTCTAGTTAGGTTGGCATAAATGCTCTACAATTTTTCCTTTTGGGCCTAACAAACTGTCTCTGTGAAGCCAGGAAATCCCTGGGGGAGAAGTGGCAGGTGGGGAAAAGGGGGAGGGGAGTTGATTGGATCCTTTCCCTGTTTGTGCCACTTGCCTCTCACCCCGATACAAATTCTCTCTAGTTCTGTCCCTTTTCTCTCTCTCAGTATCTCACATGTGGCTATAAAATCTGGGGAGATTCCCCCTTTTTCCCTCAAATGATCAGCTCTCTTCTCTCCCCTGATCTCTCCATAATTCTCAAATGTCCATTTAAAATCTCTCTGATGTGGGGGGATTTTCCCACCCATTTTATCAGCAGCGATTTGTCCTTGTTTAGGTGGGAAATTGTTGCCCTGGGTCATTCCCCAAAACATGGCTGCCCTTGGAGTGGGGATGGGATGGGATGCCTGTTCTCTGCCAGGGTAGGGAAGGGAGGAGCAAGTGTCCCCCATGGAGACTGCCCAGACCCCAATTTCCCAATGCCAGTTGTTGCCTCCTAAGTACCAACACAGTTGCCCCCAGCCATCACCTGCCCATCCCCCACTGCTGCCCCTTCCCTCATCCAGGGAGCCTTCCAGCTCCCCCTCCCTCTCCCTTGCCCTCTTAAAGCAGCTCCCCAAAAGGCTCCCTGCTGCTCATGTGAATGGTGGCAGTTGGGGAAACCATCACTTTCTGTTTATGTATTGGACAGTCATATACAATCCAGTCAAACGGTCCCCCTTTTCCACTAGTTCTTTAATAGCAATATAAAATCCTCTCAGATCTTGGTGTTTTTTCTCTCATGTTATCAATTGCGTAGTTTGTGACGTGTTTTCATTACAAATCTCAAAGATTGATATAAAATACCCTAAATATTTGCCCCACTTTTTCTCTAGCTGTTTATTGCTAATTGAATGTGCCCTGAGATTTTTCCCTGTCTCTAAGTATAAAATACTAAGAAAATCTCCGATTTATACCTTTTCTCAGATTCTTGAACATGAAAATAAAATGTTTGCAAATGTTGCCCATTTCTTCTCCATTTATCAAATATTGATGTGAAATACACTTAGATTTTACCTCGTCAACAACTGATATGAAATCCCTCTGACATTCCACTTTCCTCTCTATAATTTGCAAAAATGGATCCAAAATCCCCCAAATTTCCACCCTTTCTCTTTCGTTTCTGAACATTGATCTCAAAGCTCAGATTTTGCCTCTTTCTACATCATTATCAAATGTCTATTAAAAATCCTGTCGGGTTTTGGGCCATTCCCCATGTTTCTAAATCCCAGCTACTTCTCCTTCCTTGGAGGGAACCTCTTGCCCTGAGTTGTTCTCCATCCTGGAGGTTGCAGGGGGTTAAATTACCCTATGATCATCTTTCCCTTCTCCTTTGAGAATCATTTGTTCCCTCCTTTATCTCTGTTAAAAATGTTTGCCGGTGAAAGAGACCAACCACATATTTAATACCCATCAAAGCCAGAGGCCTCCCCCTGTTTGGGGGATCAGTGGTTCCCAATTGGTAACAGGAGAGTTGGCTGGACCCTTTTCTTTTCTCCAGCTGGCACAGGATGAGTGGGTCACTCTGAGTGCAGCATGGATCTAGAAGTATCCAAAGCCCATGATAAATGGTCTGTGTGAGGAGCTGCTTCCTGCAGTGCTAAGATGTAGTCACCTCTGGAGTGGATCCACGGTGGCCATTATTTGCTAGTGACGGCATGGAAATTTCTTACCTATTTTGGCCCTCCAGGCCTTCCATTCTCCTGTTAAAGAAGCATCCCCCAGGGTTCCCTCTGCCTTGTGACTGGCCAACTGGGGGTGGTGATAACTTTCTATCCGCTTATCAGACTCTGTGATGTAACACTCTTGCTGGGTGCAGGGGCTTGGCTGTGTGGGGAGATTGCAGCTGCAGCTGAAGGGGCATTGTGCTGGGGGAGGTCTCTGGGTGACTGGTCAGGGGGTACCCTAGTAAGGTCCGTGACTTCTGGAGGTTTGGGGTTTTGGGGGGTGGTTCTGATGTGCCCAGCGCTGAGGCTATGGGTCCTGGAGGTGAGTATCGCTGGGGGCCTGTTGGCTGAAGAACAGTGGGGGTGGGTGTCTCTTGGGGAGGTGGGAGAGGGGGATAGAGGGTGCCTGGTGCTGTGCCAGGGGCTCTGTCTAGGCTTCCCCCACTGGCTCCTGGGATCGTTGCCATGCCCTGTGCACAGAGCTGTCGTGAGGATCCCCGGTGCTAGGTCAGGGGATGCCAGGGAAGCAGAGTGAGGGGTCCTGCTGTAAAGCATCAGAGAGTCCAGCTGGGAGGAGGAGGATGTCCCAGGCAAACGGCATGGCAGATCCTGCTGGAGGGCAGGTGGGGGTCCTAGGCAGGCAGTGAGGGAATCCCAGGCAGGCAGTGAGTGACTGAGCTCCCAGAGCAGGGTCCTTTTGGGGGTTCTCTGACCACTTTGGGGGCTCTTAGTGCATGGAATCCTTTTGGGTTCCCAAGCTGATAGTAAATGTCTGGTGGAGATTCCCTTACTGGTGGAGCTCTGAGGGGTATCGAGTTCCTGGCCAGGGACTCTGGGGGCTAGGTCCCAGGGAATATCTGTGGGGGTCCCTGGCTGGCAACTCTGGATACAAGGGGCTATCTGGGGCCACTAGCTGGAGGCTCTGGTTGCTACTACTGACCACGCTCCTTCTCACTCATCAGCTGGTGCCAGAATCCTAATCCAAGCACTGCCCGGTGTTCCCCGGCTACTGCCAATCACCGTGAAAACTTTGTATCCACAGTGAGGGACTGAGTTCCCAGTGGGGGGTCCTTTTAGAGGGGGTCTGTGGCTCCTCGGGGCTCTTGGTGGGGGGAACCCTTTGGGTAATATAATGCCAATATTTTAAAAGGGCTCTAGAGGTGATCCCAGCAATTACAGACCGGTAAGTCTAACGTCAGTACCAGGCAAATTAGTTGAAACAATAGTAAAGAATAAAATTGTCAGACACATAGAAAAACATATATTGTTGGGCAAAAGTCAACACGGTTTCTGTAAAGGGAAATCATGTCTTACTAATCTTTTAGAGCAACAGAGGGTCCTGTGTCACCTTTGAGACTAACAGAAGTATTGGGAGCATAGATACTTGTAGTACGTACGTACGT